TCTGGAGGGAGGAGCTGGCATTAGCCAGGGAGGAGGTGATCTGGGCAGTGGTCACCCAGAACTTCTAGAAAGATGGGGCCAGTTAGGGGTAGTAACAACAGGAGAGGCACTTGGGAACATTTTCTTTTCTCTTTCTGTTTCTATTTTTAGATGATAGAGAAGATTTAATTTTTCCGAGGAGCTGTAGATTCACAGCAAAAACAGAGAGGAAGGTACAGAGGTCTTCTTTATATCCTGCCCTTCTTTATACACGGCATACTCTCTCCCCATTAGCAACATCCCCTCCCCTCTGTTACAGTGGCTGCCTCTACGCTGGGGAAGATTTTTTTAAGCTACTGCTTTCTTTTTAAGATTTATCTATCTATACATACAGAACTGGGACACAGGCCAGAGGTGCAGGGGATGAGAGGATTCACCAGAGACAGAGTGGGGAGCCGAACAGGTAGATCGACGAAGTACACTGCCGAGGGAGCAGCAGGGAGACAGGAGAGGTCTGCTGCGCCATGTGGGTCACCTCCGTGGCGGGGGATTGAACTCCTACTACAGTGGCTGACAATAGCTTGACGGTGCTAAGACTTAACCCCGGGCCACCAGGGAGGCCCAAAGCGACTGCTTTTCTATCCATCACCCTTTTAATTTGTAATATTTACAGTTTTCTAAACTTCTCCCCAAGGGAGAAAATGTCAGTTGTCCATATCAAAGAATATGGTCTACGGCCATACCACCCTGAACGCGCCCAATCTCGTCTGATCTCGGAAGCTAAGCAGGGTCGGGCCTGGTTAGTACTTGGATGGGAGAACATGAAGATGGAGAGCTCTGAAAGAACAGCCCTGCTCTCGGTTCCCGGGGAGTCCTGGTCCCCAGGCCTTGGCTCTGGTCCTCCGGCTGGGCCGGCTCGGCTTCTGCCTCTGCAGCCACATGGGCTGGTTCAAGGAGGAGCGCTCTGTGCCCACTGGCAATGCTGCCAGTCCCTGCATGTCCTCTGAACTTCTGGTTTCTCGCAGGCCCAGGAGCTTCCACCCAGGCCTTTGTTTTCTTAGTATCACACTCCTCCCCTTCCCCCACCATGGGTGCCATATGTTTGGGGCGCCCCCCACACTAACAAAAACTAGATGCCAATGACATAAACAGCTCATGTCTTCCTGTACTTGCTCTGGGTGTGACCTCAACACCTTCCCTTCAGGAAGGAGGGAGGTGCGGGGAGGCACAAGGGGGAATAGGAGTAGATTGGAGGGGGAGTAGTGAGTGGAGGGGTACCACTTTCTCTCCCAGGGATGGAGGGGCAAAGCGGTTCTGTTTCTTCACATCCCACCTCCTCACTTCCCACCACTGCCATCACCCTAGAATGCACTCCCATTTTCTTACCCTGCCTGTTTGCTATCTCTGCCCACGTGGATGTATCTATGGCAAGCAGAGGCCACACCACCCAGCCAGATGGAAACACCCCAAGGCTGGAGAATTTGTCTACCTCAGCAGACTAAAGAGCTCCCAGAGGGCAGGGAGAGCCTGTGAGTCTGTTCACTCAGCTCCAAAAGCATGTTTCATATAAAATTTAAAAGTCATCATCTCACATTATACAGTGTGAAAGTAGAGGCTGAAAGGACACTCCAAATCCTCATTCTTAGGGGAGAGCTGTCTTTACTTTGTTGAATTTCCACAGCTGAGTAGACACTCAAATATTCAAATGTGGGATGGATTACTGAAAGGTAACACATATGGAACACTTACTAGGTGCTGGGAATTGTTCTAAGTGCTTCATGTTTATTGGTCATTTCATGCTCACAACACCACGAGGGAGTTGGTATCAGGGCCATCACTACCTCCACTTAGAAATGAGGTAACTGAAGCACAGAGAGGTTCAGTGATTTACCTGAGATCACACAGTTGGTAACTACAGGAGTCAGGAGTTAAACCCTGGCAATGGGGTGCCAGGATCTTACCAGTGTTGTTTTGTTTTTTCTTATCTTGATCACTAATGCACATGCAGATAATAAAGATTTTTTTATTATAGACAACTTCAAGCATAAAACAGAAAATAACATAAAATATTTATATCTCCATTCTCTCCATTTCAATATTTATCTCATATTTCTTCTTGTTTCTTTTATTCTCCCACATCCTGAGCCCAGATTATTTTCAAATAAATCCAGTCATTGTATCTTTTTTTTTTTTTAAAGATGTATTTATTCATACAGAACTGGGGTACAGGCCAGAGATGCGGAGGGTGAGAGGATTCACCCGAGACAGAGTGGGGAGCAGAACAGGCAGATCAACGAAGTACACTGCTGAGGGGAGCAGCGGGCGGGTCAGGAGAGGTCTGCCACACCATGTGGTCACCTCCGGGGCAGGCGGGGATCGAACTCATGCGGAAGTGGCTTTGACTTCTTAGTGCTGTGCTTTAACCCGCTGCGCCACCAAGGAGGGCCCATTGTATCTTTTTAACCATATATATTTTCACATATATCTCCAAAAGATAAGGGCAATATTTCATTTAAAAAGTTATACCATACTAAACTGTACCTTAAATTTTAATTCCTTAGTATCATCAACCTGAATTACCAATAATCACGTTTCCCTGCTACTTTAATAAGAAAAGTTGGTTTGCTTGAATGAATAGTTAGATGAGACTTTTGGTTGAAATAGTGGCTTAATTTATTTTAATCAGGAGGTCTCTGCCTCTTCTTTTTCCCCTTCATTTTATTTGTTAAGGGAGGTAGATGTTTGTCTTATTCTCCCTTATTCTAGAGTCTGCTGACTGCTTCCGGGGGGAATGTTCATGTCATTCGGTATCCTGATCTTTCCACATAACCTAGCAAACATTTTCCCATACTGCACATGAGCTTTACTACATGGCTTCCTACAACTCCATCTGTTTTTTGTTTTTTTTGGGGGGGGAAGTTGTGTTATTTGGGTTGCTTTGGGTTTGCCATTATTATAAATAATGCTGAACAGAACGTCCCTACACAGAGTACACGAAAGGCCCTTCCCAAGAATATGCTACCAGAAGCACAGTCATGGCTCCGAAGCCTGAAGCATTTTTCCACCTCTTGGCACACACTGCCAACTCTCTGTCCAAGAGGCTGCATATTCCCTGGCACCACATTAGCGAGCGGTCACTCACTCTGACCAGAAGTTAGGTCTCTTCATGTTTGAAGGATCATTGATGAAGACAAGGCAATTATGATGGGAAAGAGCCAGAAACGGAGAAAGATGGTGATTGGGACACCTCTAAATTAAGTAAAAAGTGATCCACAATTTACCACAAACTTAGAGTGAGTCAGAGCTCTGCTCAAACCCATTGTGAAAATACTGTGATAACAGGAGTTATTAATAGGGCAGGGCCTGCCCAGTAAGCTTTCCGTTAGACTGGGCATTAGTCAGAGCCCTATTTGAGACACAGATCCAGTCTGGGTCACTGAACTTCACACAGACGCGAGGAAACTGGCAAATATCCACAGTTCCATTAGTTTGAGGGAGCATTGAAGAATCCAGGAAAAGCCACGAGGAGTCAAACATGCTCACTTTAGAAAACACAGACACATCCTTATATCCCAAAGCTGGGGAGGTTTCTGTGGAAAGGACAAAACTCACTCGTTTCTTTCTGTCTTTCTAAGGCATGCTAATAGGAAATGGGCCTCTACAAACCAGGAAAACATCTGGAGGACACAGGCAGAACTTTTCTCAGACTGGGGTCACTGTTTAGGTCTTGAGCCATTGGCCCTGGAAGTAGTCAAGAAGCTTCCTGTCCACTCTGCATGGTTCAGAGTTTAGATATCCACCTGCCTGGTGCCACTATGTGCTCTTGGGGCCCTATTCCAGCTTTGAGACAATTGTTGCTGCCAGCCCCCCAGGAGCAGTGAGTGCTCCCCATATCCTGGGCCAGTGTTCCCTCTGTGCCTTCACATTCATTTTAGGTGTTTCTAGTCAGCCATGTTGGACTTCAGGGCATCATGTGGTCCTGCCAGTCCAGCCCTGCATGCCCATGGCCAACTAGGAGTTTGTGGAGTGGGAACTAATTGGACAAAGCCCTCATGGTGACAGGCACGTGGGGTGACACGAGACCTTGAGTCACTTAGTTCAGACTTCAATAGCTTCCTACAAAGCAGCAGGTGCTCTACACACATTCTTTTTAATTCACACAGCTGAGGTAGGGTTTCACAGGTGTGGGACTGGAGATTACACAAGCTGTTTGCCCTGGGTCACATGCTGGTTAAGGAGTGCCTAGGCTATGTTTATCTGGCCGTCAAATCTATGTCCGTCTTCAGCGCAGGCGACTTGAGAACTGCAGAGAGGTGGAAGTTCCCACCCAAGGCCACAACCGACCTGGAGTTGGGATTTGGAAAGGAGTCTTCCCCAGGCACCTGGCCTCTTCTGACCTCTACTGTGGGAGGCCAAAGGCTTGGCCGATCAGATCAGGCCAGCTGGGGTCAGGTGTAACTGCAGAAGAGTAGACAGGCTCACCTCCAAAAGCATTCTCAGCGCTCCGGCTCCCACCCTAACCGAAGTCGCCAAGAGAACGCTTCTAGGGGGAGTCAGGCAGGGCAAAGGAGTGGCCTGGTCCGTGTCTGGAGGAGCCGGTCATCGGCCAGGGCGGCGGCAGCAAGGTATTGTAGAAAAATTATGGCCTGGGATCAGAATCTCTGGGCTCCTGGTTGGTACCAAACGGGACCTATGGCAGGTGACTTAAAACTCAGAGTTCCCTCATCAGCAAACCCCGGCAACAGTAAGTCGCACATAAAACGTGCAGACGCAAAAGCAGGGATTGTTACGTACCAAAGGAATATACCACCTGATCGCGGCATCACACCCATAGTGCGGGCTGTCCCCTGGCCCGCGCGAGGCTGCGTCTGCGGAGAGGAAAAAAAACTACAATTCCCAGAAGGCGCCGGGCGGGCCGGTAGCGAGGCAGAGGAGAAACTACAACTCCCAGAAGGCATGGGGCCGGCCGACGCTGGGCTGTGATGTCACGGGGGCCGGCGCAGGGCGCCGATTCGGCCAGAGCTGCCAGCGGGGTGGCTGCCGCCGCGGTTGTTACAGCTGCTGGAGCGGCAGTGGCCCCCGTCCCCGGGCACCCGTCCCGGTCCCTAGACTTTCGGCCCCGCACGGTGAGTCCGAACGAGAGGCCTCTGTGTGGCCCAACCGGGAGGCTCCTGGACCTAGAGGCGGGGTGGGAATGGAGGGGAGCTGCAGGGGAGGAGCCCCAGACTGGAGGGGACTCGGGCTGGGTGAGCGGAGGTGGAGGGGGTGCATCAGCCAAGGGGGTGCGTCCGTCGAAGGGGTATCCAGCGAGGGAAATGGGGGCGGGAGGCCCAGCATGGGTGTTGGGGAGGAGTGCCCCGGCTGTGGGTGGGGGGCGGGGAGCGGCTGGGCTTGGGGGAGAAAGGTTTGGCCGCTTCTGGGGCTGGCTGAACGCGTGGAGTGGGGGTGGGGCTCCGAACTCGGGGGGCTGCGAGTGCGAGGTCCCAGACTGCGGAGCGGAGCGGGGGTACCCCTCCCCCCGTCGGCTTGAGGTTCCACTTAGAAAACCCCAACAATGGTGAGGACTCCGCCTCCTCTCTTCACGCTCTCCCGGGCTAGTTGGTGTTCGCGCCTGTGCCCGGCACTCGGCGGGCGTCGATCCTTTCCGCCGCCCTCCAGAGTCGGGGTGGTGGTGCCCCGACGGAGATGTGAGTGGCTGTGTCCCTTTGAGGTGGGGTGGAGATGGAGGAGGTAGAATAGAAACGATCCTGTAGCCTGTTGCCGGAGCTCCCCCTTAGGGTCCAGGTCGCGGGCCTGGATGTTTTGTGCTTTTCATCCAGAAAGCAAAAGGCTTGCCGCTGCAAGGGCTGCCCTCACTCGGGGAGAAAATGAGAAGCCTTTACCTGGCAGCTGACCTGGGCACGATTTGGTCTTAACTTGGGAGCCTGACAAAAGGAAATTTGTGCGAGGAATCAGGGGGAAGGGGAGGGAAGGAGTGGGAAAGCTTGCCAGTCAGAAAGTGGTTAACAGCACAGACTGGCCGCAGGCTTTGGTTTGAGGCAGGTTATGAAACCACATCAGGGGCTGGCATGGGCAGCCACCTGCCAGCTGTGGCGGCAGAATTTCTCAGCCTCAACTGCTGTGGACGTACCCCACTGCTGCCAGGCCCTTCTCCCCATTTCTCCTCTTCTGGGAGAGGACAGTTAGTTACTTTACTAAACAACATGCACTCCTATTCACACGAAAGCGTCATCAAGATTGTGTCTTGGCTGCAGGTCTTTTCTTTTTTATTGATCACTTTTTGCATGTGGGGTGGGGAGGAGGAGGAGGTTTCCTGACATTTTCTGCTTTGAGGGCATCTGGTGTCCAGAGCGTTAGCCACAGCTTAGGTCCACGCTCCTCCTGGACTTCTCCGGCTTTGTTCGATGCCCTCTTCTGGACCGAGAGGGGTATAGGATGCTCTGGGATTCAGCAAGGCCCTGGGGACTCCCTTTCGCCTCCTGACAGTCCTCTGGTGGGCTAGAGGTGCCCTTGTTGGTCTGGGTTAGGGAGAAGAGGGGAGGGGTGGAGGTCTCTGGTCACACTTGGGGACCTGCTTCTCAGTGGCAAGTCCTGCAGAGCCCTCACGTCTCAGCCGTCCTCTGCGAGGGCGGAGGCTTTTATGTCATGTGTGTCCCAGGAGCTGTGTTCAGGTAACTGAAGCCCTAAGGCCCTGGGAAGGTAAACAAGAGAGCCAGCCCCAGTTTTCTAGTTCCTTGGGTTTCTGTTAGGCCCAATTACCCAGGCTGGTAGGTCCCAGGAGCGTTACTTATAGGAGGCACCACAGGCCGTCTCATGAATGTTCGCATGTTGGGGAGGTGTGTTGTGGGCCACATTTCCCCTGAGATCTCAAAGCTCAGGGCTTCTGAGAAGAGGAAACCTGTTCCATTCTCCTGGAATTCAGGAGCTGATCCTTGAGAGTTCTGGCTGCTCTGCAGGCTCGGCTGCCTCCAAGCTGGGGATAGATAGCAACTGAGTCTGAGGGGGTTGGGTGCAGCAAGGTGCATGTCGACTTGGGGGAGCTTCCAGGATACCCCCACCTGGGTCTCTTTCTGCATCTCTAGGAGACAGACAGACAGACAGACAGACAGACAGACAGACAGACAGACAGACACACAGACAGACACACACACACACACACACACACACACACACACACACACACACACACACACACACACACACACACACACGCTTGACTGCTCCCATGGTGGTGACCTCAGGGTCTTTTATCAGGCAGGACCCTCTGGCAGCTAGGGAGGGGACAGTGCAAAGGCCCCATCTGTTTCCAGCTCCTGCTGCTCACAGGGCCCACAGAGGTTGGGGACGCTGAGCTGTGGACGGGAGCACCCATCCCCGCACTGCCTGCACCCCGGAACATGGCATCGTCTCCTGGGCATCGAAGTTGCCTGTCCGCTGCTCCACCGCTTCTGCCTCTGGAGCTGTGGGCGTGGTGCCGACCTGGAAGCAGGGGCTAGGGAGGGAGACGCAGAGGAGGGTGAGCGGGGCAGAGGAGAAGGGGGCAGGAGAGGCCATCCGGCTCTGCCCTGAGGAGGAGGGTGCCCACGTGGCAGCCGTCGAGTTTGCGGTGGCCTCTGTCCTTGCCTTTCCTCTGGTGGGGAGAGAGCCCGGTGGCGTGTGGCACAGAGGGCGGCATCATGCAGTTAGCTTGAGTGGCTGCCAGATGGGTGAAACATCTGGATGGGTTGTGTCACTGCGAAGGCGGCCTTGTGTCACCCAGAAGGTCTTCCAGGTCTGGGCTAAGGTCGTCTCTACTTGGTTTTTCTCTTTTCTTCCCTTTCTTCTCTTTGTGCCCTATCTTTCCTTCTACGTCAGGGTTGGGGAAGAAGCAGTGACCCACCCCCAAATATTGCTTCTACTGCTACCTGTTCCACAGGCCACTTCCTTTCACGCCTCCTGGGAAAGGCCCACATCAGGCCCTCAGCCCTCAGTACAGCTGGGCCTGTGCCGAGTGACGCTAGACACCAGCCTCACTTCTCCTTGGGCCTTGTGGGACGAGCTCTGTGAAGTGAGGGCAGGCACTCTGGGACTGGACGCCTCTTGATGACCCAGGGCCTCGAGTCCTGGCCAGGTGATGTCAGGGCAGCCTGCTCACGCAGCAGTGGAAAATGAACAGGCTGTCTGGCCTCGTGCTTGAGGGTCAAACAGACAGCCTAGAGTTCTTGGGGAGCGCATTTGGGTCTGAGGGGCGGGGAGGTGGCCCGCCCTGGCTCACCTCTGTGCTTGCTTGTAGAAGAGCGGTAGGAGCGGGTCGACAGGATGAACGTGGGCACGGCGCACAGCGAGGTGAACCCCAACACGCGGGTAATGAACAGCCGCGGCATCTGGCTCTCCTACGTGCTGGCCATCGGGCTTCTCCACGTCGTGCTGCTCAGCATCCCCTTTGTGAGCGTCCCTGTAGTCTGGACCCTCACCAACCTCATCCACAACATGGTGAGGCCCGCCTGCCGCCACCCCCGTGTGGGCTGTGCTCGGGGGGGCTGAGGGGCAGACATGCACCAGACGCCAGAGCCACGTGCTGACAGCATCTGTCACCGGAACATGGACCCAGCTCTCACCTCTCCCCATCCCCCACTCGGCTAAGAGCAGTGAAATCTATAGATTTGTCCACTTGCTTGTGGGGTGGCTTGTGGACCTGGAAGACAGGGAGCTGGGACCCCAAAGTGTGTCCAGGGCCTAGGTGCTGAAACAACCCTTCCCCAACTGGGGAGCTCAGACCGGTTGCCACTCTAGCTGCTGGTGACTCCCTGAGCCCTGCATGCCCCTTGTCTTTTGGTGAGGAGCAGGCCCCGGTCCCTTGCCCTCGCAGCTGGCCCTGGGCACAGGCAGCTTCTGCCGGTTCCCTGGCTCTCCCCTCTCCTGCCATGCCTGCCCTTCACCTCCGGCCACATCCCCTCGCCAGCAGAAGAGGCCGCGCCGGCCGGGAGCCCCCTTCTGCGGTGGGTGGACTGTGGAGGCGTGGGCTCTGTTGCCTGCGGAGTCCCCTCATGAAGCCCCTCTCACAGGGCATGTACATCTTCCTGCACACGGTGAAGGGGACGCCCTTTGAGACTCCAGACCAGGGCAAGGCGAGGCTGCTTACACACTGGGAGCAGATGGACTATGGGGTTCAGTTCACAGCCTCCCGGAAGTTCTTGACCATCACCCCCATTGTGCTGTGAGTACCTTGGGTGAATGCCAGCAGACAGGCCAAGGAGGGGGATAGCACCCTGGCCTAGGGAGGCTTAAACCCCATCCCAGCGATAGCTCCTGGCATTGGACAGAGGGAGGGGAGTTGGGGTACCCCTGGGCCTTGTACTGGGTGCAGGCCTGGGCCTCCCTGGCCCTGTCTTCAAGAGGTAGGGCTTCGTTCCTGCTGGGGACCTAGGCCTGCAGGATAGAGCAAGGGGGCTGGGTCTGGAGGGAGCTCTGTTTTGGGGGGAGATCTTGCCATTCTGCTCCTGTCTGCAGCCTTTCCTTTCTCTACTGTCAGGAACCCTTCCCCTGACCCCCAAGAAGTGAGGAGAAGGTAGGGCCTTCCCACAGAGTCTCTTCACCCACTTTCCCCACAGGTACTTCCTCACCAGCTTCTATACCAAGTACGACCAGATCCACTTCATCCTCAACACTGTGTCCTTGATGAGCGTGCTCATCCCCAAGCTGCCCCAGCTCCATGGAGTCCGGATTTTTGGAATCAATAAGTACTGAGGGTGCAGCCCCTCCCTGCCCGGACGGCGGGTCGTCGAAGCCTGCGCTGCGATGAAGGCAGAGGAGCCTCTGGACGCTGCCAGGGCCGGGGGTGCCGCTGGGCCCTCGATTCCCAGCCTCCCCGTCGCCAAGTTGCAGTAGCTTGTAGTGGGTTGGGGTGGGCCCCTTAGGGCGCTCACCTCTTCTAACTTTTTTATCTTTCCTTTTGCCTTTGAGTAGAGACTTGTGAGGGTCATGGAATGAGCTGGGCTCCGGGACTGCGCAGGCCTGGGCGGTGGGCAGGACGCCAGGGAAGCCCCTGTTGACTTCTCATCCTCAGGCCACTAAAGCACTTTAACCCCTGTGAGGGGAGCAGAGGGGACGGTACAGCTTCTCCGTTGTTTCACTTTAGTTCCCAGACCTTTAGGGGGACGCTGGTGTGTGGGAAAGCAAACCTGCGGCAGGGCCTCTCCCTCTGGGGGAGCTGTCACTTCCAAGGCTGTGCTTTCGGCAGCTCCCCGGGCCGGCTGCGTGGGTAAGGGGAGGGCTGGTGGGGCCGGGCCTCCTGGCCCTGAGGGAGGTGGGGGGTGTCAAGGGGGGCTCCGGTGGGTTGGGGGCTGGTAAGCAGCAGAGATTGGTGCAGGGGAGGGGTGGAGAGGTGGGACAAGCTCTCCCCAGTCTCACCCTTTGGGAAGTGGTCAGGGAGGGGAGCAGGCTCTCGGGGAGTTAATTTCCTCAGGAGTGGGCTGGTGATAGGAAGGGAGGCTGCTGTGGGTTTGCAGCTCCAGGGTTCCAGGCCGGGCTCAGAGAGGGAGAGGCCCAGGAGTCAGCAAGCGCCCAGCCGTTGACGGCGCCTTGTACAGTGCTGCGAGGGACCTAGGGCACCGACAGATGCCGAGCGGTGGGCCCTGCGCAACCCCCACCTCACAGCTGCCTCTGAGCACCTGTGTGGGGCCCAGCCTCGCCGGTGCATGGTGTGCAGTGGACTGTGAGACCACTGCACCTGTGAGGGGCTCCTGGGCGCTGCCTGGGCCCTGCTGGCGCCTGCAGTGCTGCCTCGTCACTGGAGAAGGCAGAAGAGGTGGAGCGGAGCAGAGCGCCTTCTCCTGGCTGAGTCTGTCATTTTGGAAAAGGGTGATGCCTGCGTCCTGTCCCAGGTCCTGAGAGAGGAGAGGAGAGGAGGTCACTGGCCCTGTTTTCTGCCTCCTGGTCCTCCGCCCCCATCCCATGTATTGTAGGGAACTTTCACCTCAAAATCTTTCTAAGCAAAGTGTGAATAGTATTTTTACTCCCTTTGTACAGTATTCTGAGAAATGCGAATAAAGGACTGTGTGTTCCTGTTTCCCCTAGTCTGCCTCTGCTTCCTGGAGGGCCCTGGGGGAGGGTCAGGCAGCTCCTGCTGTGGGCAGCTGGGAGCACCGGTTGGACCCTTGGCCTGGGTGAGGGGAATGACTGCTGCTCTTCCTGCTGCCCTGGGAAGTGGGGAGCAGGACCGGTGAGCCCAAGGGGCTGCCAGGGAACTGGCTGAGGCAGTGGCAGGCCTGAGAGTAGAATTCCTCTGTGACCGCCTGGCTGCGGCTCTGACCGCTCACACCCCCGGCTCAGTGGGGCAGAGAGCCAAGAGCAGAGGGATGGCTCCTGCCTTGGCCAGGAGGGCTGAGTCTAGCGGTGGCTTCCGGGGAGGGGGCGTCCCAGGGCGTGCCCAGCCCTCTGCTCTGGGTTCCTTCCCTGGTGCTCCTGGGAGGGGCTTGGCCTGGCCTCTTGTCTCCAGAGGGATCTTCACACTTCCTCTCCACTGTAAGCTTGAGTGGGCAGGCAGAGGTGACGCACCGGGACTTCATAGCTCCCAGGCCTGAGTGGGGGCATGCTCTCGTCGCCCTGTCCACCCAGTCTGAGGCACTGTCATTGGCAATTCTGGAACAAGTGCAAAGTCCCATGCAAAGGGAGAAGCTAGTGACCCTTGGCTGCTGTCCTGTATCAGTGTTCTTGGGTGATAGCGAGATAACCAAGTTCAGCCTCACCCCAGGCGAGGTCCACGTAGTCCTGGGTTGCTGCCTGGCATCAGGTGCTCCGGAAGGCTGGGGCATATTAACAACCTGCGTTCCAACCTGGCTCAGCCAGGTGCCAGCTGCGTGAACGTGCCAGGTCACTTCTCAGAGCTGCAGTTTCTTCTGCAGGAGTACAGCTATGTAGAGCTGTCTTGAGGCCCACCCAACACCGGCTGCCGTCAGCACCTCACACAGGGTGGCCATGCTGGTCACCAGCACGGCCCCTCATTTCACAACTGAGGGAGGGGCCAGAGGACAGATACTGGTTATGTCTGAGACTCAGTGGTGGGGCCAGGAGCCTCCCTGGGGACAGGAGTCAGACGTGACAGATGGTGGCATCCCCCCCAGAGGGCTATGTAGGAGCATGTGGTGGGCAGCGAGTTGAGTAGTGACCCAGCTTGTACTGTGAGGAGGAGTCAGGAGAGGAAATACTTCAGCAGACGGAGTGGAGAACAGGCAGATTTACTGAAATCCCTGCCAAGAGTAGCAGCGGGTGAGAGCGGAGGGGTCTGCTGCGCAGAGACGGGGTGTTGAAGGGGTGTCCGGAGGCTCTATGCTCCAGGCATCACTGATTGGTTTGTGGCCTGGCTTTTGGGAGGGGTCATCAGCATAAGAACTGGTTCCCCTTCACCCATTTGAGCCTCTCAGACTTAACCTGCTGGGCAAGGAGTGGGGACTTTGTTTTTATTTTATTCTATTATTAAAAAAAAGTTTTTTTAAAAAATAATTTTCTCAGCCTTCCCTGGTGGTGCAATGAGTTCGGATGCAGCACTGTAAGGGAGCTGCAGCAGCTTCAGTGCAGAATCGATTCCTGCCCTGGAGCTGACCCACATGGCGCAGCAGACCTCTGCTGTCTCGCCCGCTGCTCCCCGCAGCAGTGTGCTTTGTCGCTCTGCTTATTATGGTCCCGGCTTTGTCTCTGGTGAATCCTTTCACCACCCCTGTATCTCTGGCCTGTACCCCAGTTCTGTATGCATAAATAAATATTAAAAATAAATAATCTACCATAATTTTTGGGTCCCTTTGTCTATTTTGAGGCATCTGGATTGTCTCCATATCTTGGCCATTGTAAATACTGCTACAATAAACAGGAGTGCAGGTTTCCTTTCGAATTTGTGTTTTACTAGTCTAAGAGTAGAATCACTGGGTCATACGGTAGCTTCATTTTCAGTGTTCTGAGGAACCTTGACACAGCTTTCCATAGTGGTTGGATCAGTTCCCACCAGCAGTGTAAGAACATTTTCTTCATCTCCACATCCTTACCAGAGTTTACTTCCAGTGTTTTTTTTTTTCTGTTTGTTTTTTTAAGATTGATTTATTTATGCATTACAGAACTGGGGTACAGGCCAGAGGTGCAGGGTGGTGAGAGGCTTCACCAGAGACAGAGTGGGGAGCAGAACGGGCCAACTGACGAAGTACACTGGAGCAGCAGGCAGGCCAGGAGAGGTCTGCTGCCCCATGTCAGCTCCTGGGCAGGGATCGAACTCGCACTGAAGTTGTTATGGGAAGGATGTCCTAAAGGAACTCTATGGAGTTTTGTGGACTCCACCCCCTACTCCAGTGATTGGAAACTACAACTCCCAGCAGTACCAGGGAGAGAATTGGGAGGATCCAAGGGCGGAGCTAAGCAGGCATTCTGGGACTTTGTGGGGGTAAAGAGGGTGCCATTTTCTACCACAGTCTCTCTGGTTGGGACAACGGCAACAGACCATAACTCAGGGCTTTCAGTCAGTTGGTTACCAGAGCTCCTAGTCAGCCCAACTGGTAAGATATTCCAGTTATCTTGTATCCCTCTCTCTTTCCCTGTTCTTTTCCCCTTTTGTCAATAAACCCATGATTGACCTTTTGTGTATGCCTGCACTACAACTAAATTTGAAGCACGTGGGTGCCCTGCAGCAAAGTGGCTTTAACTTCTTAGTACTGTGCTCTAGCCGGTTGTGCCACCAGGGAGGACCCTACTTCCTGTTTTTTTGTATGTGCCATTCTCACTGGTATGGCATCTCGTTGTGGCGTTGGCTTGCATTTCTCTCATAGTGATGTTGAATGTGTTTTTTTATGCCTGTTGGCCATTTGCATTTCTTCTTTGGAGAAGTGTCTTTCGTTCTTCTGCCCAATATTTGATTGGGTTGCTTCGTTTTGTTGGGGGCTTAGTTTTTAAATTTAGTAATAACACCCAGCACCCTATGGGTGTTGGCTGCTCTTGCTCTGAGGGTCAGTGCTGCCCACCATCCCTGGCCTTGGGGTAGCTGTCCCAACCAGCCTCTCCTGTCCTATCCCAGCACAGGCATAGCTGTTGCTGCTGGCACTTGGCGGGGCTCCCAGCCCCGATTCTGTTTCCCTTCTGATTTCATTAGACAGTATGCCTCTGGCCCTAATTCAAATGGGACACATATTAGGTAGGGAAAATGCATGTGTATAAATTCCATCTGCCTCACCCATTCCTGGATTCAAGAGGGGTAAAGGGTTTCCTTATCTGCCTCAGATTGGCCTTGGTGAGCCCCACCTCCGGCGTGAGGCACCTGGCTTCACGATCATCTCATCTTATAGTTACTTTCAGTTCTTTTCCAGTGACCAGGCTCTCAGGGATTGTGCAGGAGAGATCCCCAGAACCCCCATTTTTGTGAGCAGCGGAGACCGGAGGAGAGGTAGGTGGTCCCTGAGGTGGGCCCGTGGGCTCTGGGCTCTGGGCGTTGCCTTTTCAGGTCCCCAGAAGAAGCCCTAGACTGGGAGTAAGGTGAGAGTCGGCCACCATGATGGTGACAGGGATAAAGAAGGGTAGTTGTGTGAACAGGGCCAGCTGAGGACCGAGGGGAAGGTGGGTGGAGGTAGGGTGGGCAGGGGAGCCCAGAAAGCTTATGAGGGGGTTATTTTTGCCAGAGGAAGGAGACAAAGGCACCGAAGAAATGGGGGGAAAGCTCAAGAGGCAGGAAGTGTAGAATCACCAATGGAAGGGGCAAGAGTAAAGAGGACTTGGGGTAAGAGAGCCTGTGGGGTGTGGCGGGACACACTGAGTGGAGGTGGGGAGGGAGCAGCCCTCTCCATGGGCCTGGCGATGGGCCTATGGAGGCCCGGTGCAGCTGGACACTTGCCCCGGGTGGGGACTCATTTTATTTTCCCACATGTAAGGGGCCCCCAGAAGGTGACCTGGACAGGGCAGAGAACTGGGGTGGGGTTTGTCCAGGCCCACAGCTCAAGGAGGGGCTCTCACACTCCATGCTTTCTCTTTTGTTTCCGCTGAGGCCCACCCACCGCTATCTCATTGGGAAATGGTTGTGAGGGGGCACCCCTTAAGTCATAACAGAGGGAAGAAGTCACCAGTTGGTAGTGGGGGGCAGCCCTGCACTTATCCCTCTGGGGCCTTGTTCAAGAAAGTGGGTGCAGGTCTGGCTGGGCGTGGTGGACCCGCCTTCCCACCCACACCCCTCTAAACAAGGGGCCAGTCTGCTGAGCCACGATGTAGAGAGCATGTCTCACTTTCTATTTTGGGAATCACGGCTCCTTCTTTCCTCTGGAGGGTTTCAGTGAGGGGCCCAGAGGAACCGGCATTAGTGACAGTCACCCCTCCTTAGTGTGGGGTGACCACACTTAGAAATGGGAAAGGCAAGTGATGCGGGTCCTGGTGTCCTTTGGCTCTTCTCAGGCCTTAGGCCACCAAAGGTAGAAGTTTTTAAAACCTGAACTGATACTTTCCAACATACTGAAACTGACATTCTTTCTCCATTTGGCCCAGGAACAATGGGCAGTGTATTTGAGAAAGTCACAGAAGTTGTGGTCAAAGAAATGGATGCTGGAGGATCTATGGTTGCCGTCAGAAGCATTGCTAGTTCTGACAAATATAGATGCTTAAGTCTGGTGAAGAGAAAGAACAGTGGTTTTGGATGCCATTACTGCGACACAGGCCTCACTTTGATGGACATACTGGAGAGGCAGGAGGGTGATGATGTGGATTCTAGTGCCCAAGGTCAGTATGAATCAGGAGAGCTGGTCAGCATGAGGCTTTCGCGGCTCCTACTGCACCCCACTCTTCACTCCCCATTGCCATCAACCTAGTCACCCAGAGACATAAACTGGAATTTATATGTCCATGTGCACATAACTCTTTTGGGTAATGCACAGAACTGCACAGAAAGAAGGGGTGCAGGATATGGAAATTTATTTTTATCGTAAGTAAAAATACTTTACTATTTCCAAGTAGCTTTCCTTTCCTATCCCCCACACTCTTTGTAAATAATTTGCTTTTAAATTAGCTGGGAGTCTTCTCAAGTGTTCATATGTTGTTCAATGGTTGAGAGAGGATGTAGGTTTTAGACCTGGGGGTGCGGGCTGCAAAGCCTGCCTTGCTGCTTCCAGCTGGCACACCTCAGGACAAGTTACTTTCTCTGAGTTTGTCTCTTCATCTGCCAACTCTTGCAAGAATCAAATGAGATAAATGATGCCCATCAGCTGTCACCGGGGCTGCCCGGAGTGCTCCCAGAGAAAGGCACTCCGTAAGAGTCAGCTGCGCTCCTGCTGCTGGTGCTGGTCACGTCAGTGTTATCCCTTCCTGGGGATCATGACTGAGTGGAGTTGGGGTGAATAGAGCTCCCCAAAGGCTTTTTAAGGACTCTGTTCTACCCCTGCTTCCCAGCTCTGCTGTTCCTGGGTTTCTAGGGTGCCAGAAGCCGGGTAAGTGTTGTTGAGCCCTCACTTGGGCCCTCTGCAGGGCACTGCCCAGCAGGCGCGTGTTCCCACCTCTTACTGAGTCTCAGCAGATTCGAGGAAGAACCAGACACGGTGCAGTTTGGAGCACCTCCTTGCACCAGACAGGGCGTCTGTGACCCACGTAGCGCGGCAGACCTCTCCTGACCCGCCCGCTGATCCCCTCAGCAGTGCACTTTGTTAATCTGTCTGTCCTGCTCCCCACTCTGTCTCTGGTGAAGCCTCTCACCGCCCCTGCGCCTCTGGCCTGTACCCCAGTTCTGTGTGCATAAATAAATAAATCTTTAAAAAAAATTAGTTTTCTAAATAATCATTCTGTCTATGGACCAGTTCACTGTAAACAGAAGAAAACTTTAAACCAGGACAAGGAGGTGTGCTATGATTATATTACTCTCCAGGAGCAGGGGCAAACATTTTTTGATTGTTAAGTTTTTTGAAGGGAAAGTTTGTTTGCATAAAACAAAATTCAGAGGCCGGGGCGAATACAAACATCTAGAAAATCCTTCACAGTGAAGTAGATTGGTAGTTTCTATTGATTTCAGCATTTTGGCCTACTCCCTTGTTATGTATGTTATTTTTAAACTATATGGTGCTAATGAGGTGGTTTAAATGGGCTTAATATTAATTTCCTGATTGGCCGAGGCTTCTGATACTTTAGCTTTACTTTTCCTTGTCTCATTTTAGCCTCTCAAATGGTTAACTAGGACTAGCTCACACTCAGGGAGCACTCGTCAAGTGCTTACGTTGCCTTATTATTTTTAAAAGATTTTATTTATATATGCAAACAAGAACAGGGTACAGGCCAGAGGTGCAGGGGTAGGTGTGAGAGGATTCATCAGAGTGGGGGAGCAGAACAGGCAGACTGACTGAAATACACTGCTGAGGGGAGTAGTGGGGAGACTGGAGAGGTCTGCTGGACCTGTGGGTCAGCTGCCAGGCTGGCACTGTGTCTTTGTTTAACCCCTGCACCACCAGGGAGGCCCTTAGCTGCATTATTTTATCTTATTTCCATTAGCACAGGAAACAGGCATTCTTGATAATCCCTTCCATAAGTAAGGTTAAGTGACTTATCCTGGCTTACTTGGTATGAACATGGCAGAGCGGGGCTAGACCTCAGAGAGTGACCCTATGATGGCCCTGTGGAGGGCAGTCTTTGCTGGGGGAGCTGAGGAAGGGAAGAGGCGTTGGAGGAGAGGGCAGGAGGGCTGCTCCAGGGGGACTTTCCACAGAGATCTTCTGGGTGGGGCTCAGTGATAACTTTACCTTTCTCTTGCAGGTCCACTTGCAGGTATTTTGCATTGTCAAAAAAAGGTTAACATGATCGTGTCAGGGGTGTGTTGTGAAAAAATAACAATTAGAGGGAACTACAAAAATTCCCAGAAACAGGAAATTAGTATAATGAGGGACCGCACACCCCAAGAATATCTGAATTCTCTGGAGAACAGGTGAGGCCGGTGGAGAGCAGCAGTGGGCGGGGAGAGGGGAGAGCCCTCAGGGCACCCAGGCTGCTGGAGCTGCTTCCCCACTCCTCCCCGCTCTCCTCAACTCCCTGCTTTGCTCCAGGGTGCCTTGCTCCCACCTTCAGGGGCCTTGTTCCTCTGGGACCAGCCTCAGGAACACTTGGAGGCCCCCAGCTCACTCCATCCCCCCTGTGCAGCATCCAGGGTGATTTGCTACTCAGCCTTGGCCCAAAACCTGCTGGTTAAAGCTGCCACTCTCCTGTGCTCCCACGATGAGTCCCCCAAACCTGTATTTTGTGCTTATCTCACTGGTCTCTGTGGCAAGTCAACGCTTTCCATCTCCCTCTCCTCACCAGACAGGGATCAACTCAGGACCCAGGGCTGATTTTCTTGACCACTCTGTATCTACTTATTAAACTCCACACACAGCAGGTGTCAGGCAAGCAGAGTGGTGAAGCACACTGAAGTCAAAGCACCCCCTAGAGTAACAAGGTAGTCCCCAGGAGAAGGGGAGGTTCCAGCTTCCCTGCCCCACCCAGGAAGGTAGAGCTGGAGGAGAGGAGAGAGGAATCAGGAGAAGAGACTGAGGAGGAAGGAAGCAGGATGGGGAGCCTGAAGGAGGCCTGAGGCCTGAGGAGGCACATGTTGCAGAGACACATGAAGAAACTGCACTTTCTTCTTGGTCCTGGACTGGTTGAACAACAACAGACATGGGTGAGAGAGCAGTGGGAGGATTCACTAAGGCAGCGATTATCCTGATTTTGATTTTGCTGTTTTCCTCCCAGACTTGTCAGACCCATTTCTGACCCTTTTCTACAGATGCCCGCCAGAAGGAGATAGATTTAGACCTGTGGTGAGGTTGCAGGCCTTGCTCTGGGCCAGTCCCTTTTGGGTGGTGATGGAGGCAAGAGAGGCAGCATAAGACTGAGTCACACAAAGGGATGGGTAGAAGGGGCTAGTGCAGCAATTGGCACAGCCAGAAAATCAGGGCACCAAAGCCAGGATGCCTGGTGCCCAGATAAAGACAAGGACATGGAGATAGAGATGAAGCTCACTAGGGAATCTCTGTCCTCTCAGATTCTATTCAAAGTCAACAAACCTAGGCTCACAAGGAGTGAGGCCCTCCCAAAGAGAAGCTGTCTCTATGTGGACAGCAAGGGGCAGCAGTCCTCTGCCCACCTGTGCCTATGCAGGTGCTTCTTTCCACCCACTGTCCCTCTGCAGGGCAGCAGCCTCCTACCTTCCTGTGACCTGTACCATGCCAGGACTTCCCTGCACTGACCTCCCTCAGGGATGCCTCTTCCTAAGACCGCCTGCCTGCAACTATGCAGGTCTCTCCCTGCAAACCTGCCCCATTCGGGGAAGCTCTTCCTGCCCACTTGCACCTATCCAAGTGTCTTTTCCTCTCCTATTTCTTTCTAATAAACTTCCTCTTTAAATATAACTGAGTCTCTGTCTCGTGAAGAATCTCAGTGTACTGATGAAAGGGGTGAAACCTTTCCCAGAGTGAACCCAAGGACCCCAAACTCAAAAGACGATATCAGGTGGACTTTTACCTACGAGGGATGGGTAACTTCAGGTGCCTGATTTAGAAACCATAGTCTTTGTCTTTCCTGTATTGCACACTCATTGTATTAAAGTTTCTTTCCATGAAAGGTCTTACATGTTTTGTCTTGATGTGGCGGATGACAGAATCCATTTAGAGCAGACAGGTTTGGGGGTTCAGGGATGCCCCTCTCTCCCTGCTCTGCATCACTAGAACATTCCTATACAGACAGCCACCCTGCTCCCACCAGGACAGCACCAGCCAGCACTCACAGAGGCTGTGAGAGAGAAGCACTTGGGTTAATTAGGGACTTGCTGATGGAAAGGGAGCAATGTCACGATGTCACAGGGAGTGGGGCCCCTGAAAGCCTGCATTCTCACTTTTCTCTTCAACCTCCAGGAAGCTGAAGGAAAATCTACCTCCTAAGTTTAGGAAAATCCGCAGAATGAAAGAAGACCTGTATTTGGTGACAGAAACTCTGAAGAATGAAAAGCAAGAAACCCTGACAGACAGCTGGGCATACAAATTTTGGGGCATGTTTGATTTCTTACCTCTTGGTCTTGGAGTCAACTACAAGACCAAAGTAAGCACCCTGGAGGCAGGGGCTGGTGTACCCATGCAGGTCGGAGCTGCCAGCCCAGACTCCAGGCTCTACTTTCAGCTCCTTGGCCTTGCTAGGATTCCTCTTCTGGCCCCCAAACAGGCTGTGTGGCCTGGCTAAGTCCCTCCCCATTAATTTCTAGGGACCCCTGCCCCTTTTTACTTGCTTCCTAGCGCATAGCACTTCCCACGGTTCATAGCTACAGGGGTGGGTTTTTGTTTGTTTGCTCACAGTCTCCCTTTCTGGAAGGCTGGGGGGCAGGTCCTCAAGACACATTCCTTGAGTGAACAATGGAAACAACTGAGTGGAGGCCAGATGTGGGTTCAGTTTCAGCTCTGCTAGATTTTAGCTCTGAAACTGGCTCACCCACTGACCCTCCCTGGCCTGAGCGCTTTCATCTGCATAGTGGATCATTTATCTACTCACCAAGATTGGGAGATCAGGTAAGATAACTATGCAAAACACCTCAGTCCACTGGATCTCCTCTTCCCTAGCGCTCGGTGACCATCGCTGCCGATTTAGTCCTGGCTTACTGAGTGGAGCAGCTCTTCTTCCATGAGGAGGGGAAGATGAGTAAGCAAGGCCTGGGAGCAGGGAGGGGCCTGAACTCAGGTGGGGCCTGTCAGCCTGGAGGGGCCCAGTCAGCACAGGGGTGGGGGGCGGATCCGAGGAATAGGAAGGAAGGTCTGATGCTGATCCTGGATTTGTTCCACATTCATTCCTCCCTAAATGTGACTCCCCATATAATCATTTTGGTGGAGTAGCAGGGTGTGGGGACTGGGGAGTGACTAGAAAAAGGAACTCATAGAGAGAACTGATCTTTCTGATGATCTTTTCATTTTCTTTTTTCCCCCCCTTTCTTTTTTTGTGTTGGTTTAGATATTTATGACTCGGACCAAACAACCTCCTTCCCAAAAAGTGAGTGCGCTTCTGAGCCTCTGGGCTCTTGTTCATCATTCCCAATGGGCAAGGATAGCCTGGATGTATAGACTTTTTAGGGTGAAGGATGTAGCAGGGCGCATCCAGGGGCGGGGTCCATGGTGAGGGCAGGAGAAAAACCAGCCTGGTAGAGACGCAGACGGGGCTGCACGCTGCCTCGGCCTTCCAGGCTCCAACCCTTGGGCTCGCTGGCCTGCGGAAGGCTTGTTGCTTGAGGAAGCTCTGAGTGCTCCGGTTGTTCTCACAGGACATGGCTGTGGAGGAGCTCTGGACTGGGTCAGCCCAGGGCCTAGTCCTGCATCTGCACCTATCTAGCTAGCTCTTGAGTTTCTTCAGACCCCATCATCCTGGCTTTAAATGAATGTGTTCAACTCGAAGAGTCATGAGCTTCTGCCTGTGGCCTCCTCTGGAATTTTAGTTTTTTCCTGGATCCTGAAAGGACTGTGCTACCTTAGAAGCTTTCAGAAAGGGGCAGAGAGAAGTCTAGATGTGGTAGAAAATACAAGAAGCTCCTGGAAGTTGTAAAGTTGCCGGTTCAGTCCTAACAAGGTTTTGTAGGCTCAGTCACCCTAAAGTCCCGTTACAGAGGCCAGCTCTGCCCTGACGCAAATTTGTTGAGTGATGGAGGATATGCTGAGCCCTCTCTGGGCTCCTTTCTTCACCGGCCTCAGCCGTAGCCCTCCAGTGGAGGCTGTGGGAAGGGCTGCAGATGCAGGCTGGCTCTGTGTGTGTGCCTTGTCATTTATGCACAGCGATGCAGGCTCCCTGGTGCGGGCAAGGGCATGGAAACTTCCACCCCTGGGAAGAGAATGTCCATGGGGGCTGGAGGGAACCTGAAGACGCTCTGTGATTCTTCTTCCTCTCTTTGCAGAGAATGATGGTTCAGCTCACACAGGTAAGGAGCGGAGCCAGCTGTGTTCAGGCTCATACCTCTGGGCTCAAGGACTGCGGCTGGGCTGGATAGCTGTGTGTACGGTGTGGGGGTTCCAGGGGTGGCAATGGGGGAGATGGCAAAGGCACAGCCCAAAGCCAGTTTCCACTCAGTTTTGGAGGTTGTACCTGTTTCCTCTAAACACAGTGGTTCTTATGTGGGGAAACTTAAGACTAGTGATGCTTGGGGCCCACCTCCAGTAAGGCTGATTTAATTGATTGGGGTATGGTGGGTGTCAGGATTTTCAGTCACTCCCCAGTGATTCTCATACACAGTCCAGGCTGAGCATGTACTCCAACTGTCCTCTACACCCTCACTACCTACTCGTGTGGTCCAAAGGTGGCACATTGAATAGTTAGGACTATTTCCTGGAGGTGGAGAAGAATTTGGGGTTGGTGCCAGACTGGGGGGGGGAGGGTGAGCTGGAGAGATGAAAGGGATCAGGGGGAGGCAGTGATGGTGGGTGTCTGGGAGGAAGGATGCTTCATGTTGACAGAGTTGGAAGAAAGGAAGATACAGAGGGGTGGTCTCCAGCAGAGGGGGAGGCGATGGCCCATGGCCGTGGTGGGAGTGGGGTAGGGAGAATGGGAATGGAGCCTTTGGGCTGGGTGGGTCAGGTTTTCAACTGCTGTGCCTACAGGGAGGGCCTTGCATTCAGAGGATACCAGAAACCTGAAAGAGAAAGTGGAAGACATGGAGGAAAGCCTTATGGATCTGACAGAGGCAGAGAAACAGGATGTGCTCAAGTGCCTCACTAACTGCCTCAGAGATGACCAGAGCTGCAGAAGCTACAGCAGAGAGTAAGAGGTCCAGGAAAGAACAGGGCAGAGAGAGGGAGGAGCCAGTGGGGAAGAGACCCACCAACAGAGACATCCCCCAGTCAGTGCTCACCTCCCCCATCTCCTGGCCCAGGTGTCTGAGGCCCTGTTTTCCCGGGAGGAGGAAGAGGAGGAAGAAGAGGAGGAGGAAGAAGAGGAAAAAGAGGAGGAGGAAGAGGAGGCAGCAGTTACTCTCATACTTTGCCTCTTTAATGATGCTGGGATCTTGATAGAGAAGCGCGCGGAAGCCATTCTGACCGTCCTGGATGCCTTGATGGGTGAGTAGTGTCTGGATGTGTGCTGGCATGGCGAAATGCTGAGCCCACAGAGGGGCCTGGGGACCCCCTTCTTGAGTGGAAGGGGGCAGACTTTGTCCTTTACACATTGTGAGTTATAGAACTTTGCATTTCAGAAACTAGTCACCTCCAGGCTAGGGGTGGGGGGCTTGTCCCCCTTGGCACCTGCAAGCCAGGAGGGTCGCAGAGCCCCAGCAAGGGTCCATTTGGAATAACCAGTATCCAACACTCCCACGGGCTCTCTGGAAACGCCTTGTCCTGGTCCAACCAGAATTGAAGCCCTGTGCCCCTGGGGGTCTCTCCTCTCTGCCAATCACCCTCTTTAATCCCTTCAGGGCTATCTGAGGAGCTGCAGCTCCTGGATGACACTCTACAGAAGGGAACCTTGCCCCAGTTGAAGGAGCAGGTAAGACAACCTGGCTGAGGGCCCTGGGTCATAGAGGCAGTGAAGGCCTTGTCTTCAGGGACCCAGAAGCCCTGGGGTGCTTCCTACTTCACAGTTCTCTGTCAGCTCCCATCTACAGTGCCAGTGTGTGGCACATCCCCGGGTATACAGTTTCCAGAATGATCTTTGTGTACAGGTGAGAGAAGGGGGTGGTAGAAAATGGTTAGTCCTGGAGCGGCAGTTGGTACATTGTTGAATGCCCAGACTGATAGGCCGGCAGTGCCTCGGGTGCCGAGAGGGCAGGAAGCCACAGTAGGCTAATACACCCGCCACGCTTCAGGATAGAGCGGCTAAGTAGTTCCCATTTCGGGTATATTCCCTCACCTCTAGCCTTTAGTCACTTGGTGTGTTTCCTTCCAGGTGGAGTCTCTCCTGGAGCGGTATGAGGGTGAGCAGCCCCCCGATGTGGAAGCTGACAGTGAGACTTCCAGACTCTGTGCCCTCTATGTTGCTGCCGCCATCATGGTGCAGCTGAGTGCTTCCTCTGCGTCTTCCTAACTGTTTGTCTGTGCGTTCCCACAAGCCCCAGTGTGTCCATCCTCACTAGCCTGCAAAATGATGCCTTTAAGAAGTGATTACACCCCCACTCACTATGGGACAGGGGCCCCAAAGTCTGGAGCACATGCAAGGACTTCTGATTAAAAGTGGCAGATTGATCCCATTAACTTTCTCTCCCTCTTGAAACCTCACTGCACGACTGTAAAACAAAAGGGAAAATATAAACCCACAAGAAAAAAGAGAATGAAGCAGCAGATAAAGATTCCAAAAGACCTTTGGAAACTACCAAGCAATAAAAACAAATTCAAGTCAGGAGGCGTGAGAGTGAGGGGTGTGGAGGGGTGTGGGAGGCAGCTGCTGTTTTTCAATGATTTACAATGTTATGTGTCAAGGAAATATAGCAGAAATTTTAGTAATGTTTAGTATTTTTAGGATAATGCAATTAAAAGTAAAAAATACAATCTTCATAAATTACTTTAAATATCTCAGTATCTCAGAATCACAGTAAAGGTGCTCTATGACCTCCCCTCCTCCCGCCAACATAATCACTGCCAGCATTTGGGGTCTGTTCACTTTTTTCCTATGTAGCAGTGTTTAAAATGATCATTTAGACATGAAATCAGGATGATGGAACATAAATCTGTTTAGTGTCTTTTGAACTATAGGTTGTTCATTTAAATTTGTATCAAAAAATAAATTTGTGTCAATATTATATGCAGTGTGTCAATATTATATGCAGTGGGAACTCTTCTATGGGCCTTTGGAGTGTGTATTGGTCAACCACTTGGGGAAATAGCTTGGCAGTATCTACCAGGGCTAAACATCTCCTTAGACCCACAACTCTGCTTCCTAGGCATGTACTTGAGAAAGGCGTATAACTCCTCACCAAAAGACACGTATCACAAAGTGTTAACATAAGAGCCCCTGCTGAAAGCCGCTGCCCAGTGTGTCCAGTAACATTGGATAGATGCATACACTGGTGTACTCCTTCAATAACAGCACAAATTACCCCCACACCCACCACATGGATGACTCTCTCAGACTCAATGCTGAGCAAGGGAAGCCGGAGACAGAACATTATGTATGCCCATTATGAACAGAACATTATGTATCTCAAGAAGAAGGTGCTAAACAAAATTAGACATGCAAGAGACTTAGTAGAGGAATAATAGCCTGCAAGGAATAAGGGGGGGGCAGGAATAGGCATGGCCAGCTTCAAATCCCAATGCAGGTGGAAAACCCGTGAAAGGAGAGGCAGGGGGAAGGGCCTAGCAAGAGAGGCTGACTGTGCAGCTCTAAGCTCCTCAGCCAGCTGACCTGAGAGGTATGGCCACGACCCACCAGGCTCAGACCGCACTCAGCTTTTGGCTGGCGCGGGCTGGGGAAGCCGGGCCGGAGGAGCTGTGTCTACAGGGTAGCAGCGAAAAGTTTTTCTTCTTGCAGCAGGTTCTGGAGAATATCTGAATGGTACCTCCATGACTTCTACATCCTGCAATTCTACTCACATGTGACTCAAAACAAGAAAATCTACCCCATGGGATAGAAGTCAAAACAGTGGTTGTCTCAGTGGAGCAGTACTGATGGGGAAGTGACATGAGGGAAAGTTCTGGGATGCTAGAAATGTATAGATTCACTGAACTAACATTTGAGATCAGTATTGCTTAAGTACATTTTACATTATAAAATATTTCTTTTTAAGGATATAGTGTCTGACTCCCTATAAATGAAGTGAATTAATTGTCCAGCAATTATTAATACATGTCTATTTTGCAATGTGAAAGTTTCTGGAAAATCTTTCTAAGGTTTAGAATTGTTTGCTTTAGGAATGCCTATGATTTTGAAGACATTTGGGACACATACGTTTCATAAGGCTGGATCAACTCCAAAACTGCCAGTTGTCACTAAGATTTCTTTTTTTCTTCTCTTAAGAGTCTCAGCAAGGGAATACTTCTCTGATGGAGAATAAACTGATCCAGAAACTTGAGGCTCATATTCAAGCTCTCTTTTTTCATTTCACAATTCTGATTCCAGGGTGAAGTTCAGTAATTAATGGTATAAGTCTGTAAGGAATTCCTTGTTCAAACAACTGAAACCGGTGATAAAGAAAGCTTTGAAATGGGGACAGTGTGAGTCACTACTTGAACTTGGAGAGATGGGGGAGACTCCACTTTCCTGCTTGTTCTTTAGAACTCTTATTTTTAGCAATACCCACATCTGATCACTTTATACTCCCCAGTCTGAGCTAGAGATGCCTGGACACTGTTCTCACCCTTGTTGGAAAGGAAACCCATTTGGAGAACTACTGGCTAAGTCATCTTACGATAAATAAAATGCTATGGAGTTGGGTGTCAACAAGTCTCAGAGACGGGAGAAAACTACTTTGCAATAAACAAATTGCGGAACATACTGATTTTGCTCCTAAGATGGAAGAGAGGGACAGTGAAAGGAGATGGAATGGAGGAGAGAAGCAGAGATGGAGAGCGGCTGAGACTAGAAGTAATGAGAAGTGGTAAGAACATCTAGGTTGTAGACAGGTGGAGAACATTCAAGAATGGTGGTGGCAGGCTTGTTCCTGGTAACAGTAAGCAAGGTTATTTCCTTCAGCTCTCTTGTTGGGGACCGAGGCCGGCATCTGGCGTCTGTCAGCAGTCATAAAAAGGTGAAATGGAGTCCGGATAGAGAAAAAATCCGGGTTGTAAAAGGCATGTGGGAAGAACTCCCTGCTCCCACCTTTTCCTTCTTTTTCTTTTCTCACCCACCTATTATCAAAACACTGCTACATGTCTAGTGTCCATTGGCCTTCTCCCTTCCTGGCATCCCTCTCCTTCTGTATAAAGCTGAGATAAAACCCAATAAAGAGCTCTCTCTTTGTTCTGCTACACGCGTGTGACTGCTTCCTTTGTTCGCCGGACCTGGGGCCCCGAATCTCTGGCCTTGCTGGTCAAGGTCCCCCACACTCTCTCATGGAAAACAATTAAAAATGCAGACAATTTAAAAACATTTATAAACAACACCTAACTGCTGACAAGATCATCAAGCAAAAATTAGGTGAAAAGGACACCCAGGATGGAAAGTAAAGTATCAACACTGACGTGAATTTGCCTCAGGTGAAGGAGGTTGAAATTTTCAAACTGGACACTTCAGTTTGGCCAGTCCTGTGAGTCCAGAAGTCAAGACCAAGGAAAAACCCAGAGTGGAGAGTCTACTAAGAGGAAATCTTTCCCATGTTAAACAGGAATCTTAAAGGGCTACATTATTAAGTCAGGGGGATTCGGCTCTTCCCACCCCCAGGAGACTATAGGGATAATTCTTGGTATTGAATGAAGAGGTTAAAAAGAAAATGAAAAAAAAAACAAACAAAACTGAAATATTATGCTCATAGGCCAACCTGTTTACAAAACTTGGTCTGGATTTGCATTATCTGATTGTTTCACAGACTCTCAAATTGCAAACTCAGTTTGAAAAGGTCTTGGCTTGAGCATTTTCCCAGATGCCTATCAGAAACAAACTTAAATGATTCCTGAAGAAAGTCATTTTCATTTCCACAAGGCAATTTGTTTGTTTGTTTTTTAAAGATTTATTTATTTGTGCATACAGAACTGGGGTACAGGTCAGAGGCTCAGGGGC